CCAGATGGGTATCCTTCCGCCTGGCTTACTAAGTTACTAGCAGGGTTTAAGTTGAATCAACTAATCTCTGTTGTACTGAACGACCCAAATGGTTGAACTCTTTTAACTGAAGGTAATTACACAGGCATCTTAGAGAAGAGCTATTTCCGATTACAAAATGACTATTTGACCTTCGAGAATTACTGAATGTGGAAACTCTGATGACCCGTGACCGCCAGGTCGTCAAGGTCACTCCGCGCCAAGGCCTAGTCCCGGCTCGAACGTCACTGATGGTGACTTACTAGAGTATTGACAATTTAGGATACTCTTGATACTTTAAACAGAAATACTATTGAATATGTATGAATACAATATGAACGCAGACTAATTTCTCTAAATTACTGAATTCTGTAAAATAATTCATTATACGTTACTATGAGACAAAGGCGCCAGCCATCTTGTGACCCTAGACCGCTAATTCCCGGGGGATGCCCCGTGTTCCCAGAGTCATGGTCACTACAACGTGACTCCAACTTCCCAAACTTCCATGTCTGAGAGAGAACATACTAGATAATTCCTACAATAACCTAGTTTGTTACAGCTGGTATTGACTTTTTGATGTGTAGTGCCTCGCTGATGTCGAGCCGCCTGCTATCGCTGTACCTATCGATGATTTCTGTGTTGTTTGTTAAGATTTCTCTGGAGCCCCGTTGTTTATGCACTGTTAATCGCCTGGAAAGAGACGTTGTTGTCTTGCCTATATACTGAGTTCTTTGGGGCTTACAGTCCCCAAATGGGCATTTAAAGGCATAGACGACGCTGGTTTACTTCAAGGCGATCTGCTTGGTGTCTGGGGAGTTTTTCATAAGTAGATTGCCCATTATATATATATATATATATATATATATATATATATATATATATATATAACTGAAAACTCACACCCCAGAAGTGACTCGAACCCATACTCCCAGAAGCAACGCAACTGGTATGTACAAGACGCCTTAATCCACTTGACCATCACGACCGGACAAAATGAGGTGATAGCCGAGGCTATCACCATTCAGGCTTGTTCGCATTTGTGTTCCTCACGTGTGCCCCAAAGAATGAGGTGATTTGGTAAAATGCTATGCCCAAGATAACTATCCGAGTGCCGGCGGTGGGGTGGTTCAAATAGCCTCGGCTATCACCTCATTTTGTCCGGTCGTGATGGTCAAGTGGATTAAGGCGTCTTGTACATACCAGTTGCGTTGCTTCTGGGAGTATGGGTTCGAGTCACTTCTGGGGTGTGAGTTTTCAGTTGCATATTGTCCTGGGGACCATTCAGGCTTGTTCGCATATATATATATATATATATATGGTTATCTAATTTGTATAGACCAGGGCTTACATTAAGGCTGTTGTTACACTGTTTCATTGGAGCAGACTCAATCATATTTAGTTTAACGAAACCTTTACTTTTAACAATACATTTCGCCCCTCTGAAGTCGATAGAATGATCACACAACCTTTAATGTAAATACAATGCATTGGAGTGCTGGGCTGTACGAATCGCATATGAATGTTGTTTTAAACGTGAAGAAAAATATTTACCAGTCTGGCCAATGTAAACATGTGCACACTAATTGCAAGGGATTCACACTAATTCATACTCATCCCTTGCAATGAGTATACATGTGTTTACATCGGGAGTTGGAACAATGAACCAAGGTTAAGTTGTTTTGATTCGATCAACTTCAACTTTGGTTCGAGAAGCAAGCTACCCTTGTCTCCTGCCCTTCATATTCAAC